GCCCGAACGGTTCGGCAGGCCCCATTCGGAGAGCCAAGACGGCGGGGAAGGCGGGAGGCTGACAAACCACTCGTCGTAGAGGTCGTCCATCTTGGCGCCGGCGAGCGTGGCGTCGGCGTCGAAGGCGGCTGAGCCAGCTCGGAGCTGCGCCTCGAGGGCGGTCCACGCCTCGGCATTCGCCTCGTCCGCCAGCCCCGCCGCCTCGCCCGCCGACGCCTCCGTCTTGGCGGCGGCGAGATTGGCGGCGACGCCGAGCGAGCGGCCGTATAGATGCGGCGCCGGAGGCGCCGCCGGAGGAGGAGGCGAAGGATCGAGGGGCGTGAAGGCGGCCGCCGTCGCGGCGAGGTCAGCCGACGCCTGGGCGAGCGTCATCTGAGTGTTGGCGACGGCGGCGGCCGACGCCTTGTCGAGGAGGATGATTGTTGTGTCAAGGAGCTCGGCGTTGGCGGTGCCGGCGACCGCCTGGGCATCCTCGACCGCCTTGGCCGTCTCAGCCGAGAGGATGCGGCGCTCGGCAAATCTAGCACCAGCATCCTCGCTTACAGGAACCGGCGCGCCCGAGACGGCCATCATCGTGATGGCGGAGTGCAGGAGGCAGAAGGTGGTGACGGAGCAGACGCGTGCACTCGAGCGTCGCGTGGCGGTCGAGGTGAAGAAGGCACGGGAGATCCAGTTGCCCGGCCAAGCCGATTGCAGCGACGACAGCATCATCTCAGGTTGCTTGGTCCTTGAGTCGGCCTTGTTATCTTCCGCTTCAGCTGGCGACTTTTCCGAGAAATTTGTCGCCCTCCCCCCGACCCGGACCCGACAGGTCCTAGAAAGAAAGAAAACACACAACCCAAGGGAGGGATGGGAGGACGGCACGCCGCCAGGTCCTGCAATAGACGGGACCGCACGAGGATTTCTTCTTTGCCTTTTGCGAGTGTCCGAGATGATCGGCAGCCTCTTCGCGCTGGCGTTGCTCTCGCCTCGGCAGCCGCCAGCGCGCGATGCGCGCGTCGCGTCGATGAGCACCGCCTCCACCACGGCCAGGCCGGCCGTGCCTCCGTCGGCACCGCCGCGAGAGCTGGACAGCAATCACCTCCATCTGCTGCAAGCTACCCTCGACAGCAGCGGCGGCAAGGCAGCCGTGCAACGCGCGGCTTGCGCTGCCATCGTCCGCGTCTTTGGCTGCTCTCCTGGCGACGGTGGTGGCGAGACGGGCCGCGGCGACGGTGCCGGCGGCGGCGGCGCTGCGCCTGGCGACGGCGAGGTGGCTTCGCGGGCGACGGCGGTGCTTCCCAGCGGCGCCGGCAAGACCGTCCTCGCCTTGCGCGTCGCCGAGGCGCTCGCCTCGTCTCTCACCGTCGTGCTCATCCCAGCGCGCGACCTCGTTTCGCAGTCGCATCGCGACTGGGAGCGCTGGCGGTCGGCTCCAGGCCCGCTCGACGGCTTGCGGTCGCTGGCAGTCTGCTCGTCAACGTCGGTGCCACGGGCGGTGCTGCCGCGCTCGACGGATACTGACGTTATTGCGACCTTCCTCCGAGAGACTGAGGGCGCGCCGCGCGTCATCTTCTGCACCTACCAGTCTGCGGATCGCGTGGGCGCGGCGTTGCGGGAGGTTGGAGCTGCGGCCGACCTGCTGGTGTGTGACGAGGCGCACCGCTGCACAGGCCGGACGAGCAAGCGGTTTGCGAGGCCGCTCTTTGACGAGTTTCTTCCCGCCCGCCGCCGCCTCTTCCTCACCGCCACGCCCAAGCTCATCGGCGA